CTGTGGGGAAGAGAACTTGGCCTGTCTATATCATGCTTTCCTGTATCTCTGGCTCCCTCCCCTTCTTGGACACAAACTGTCTGAGCTTCCAGAAGCCTCCCTTTGTGGGAGTCATGTGATCAGCTCTAGCCAATGAGCTGTGACTAGAGACACCAAGTCTAAGACATGCTAAGACTGCTAAGACTTTCTGTGGACCTCCCATGTTCTCTTCGTTCCCTGGTTGGTGCATGAAGCTCTGTGCTCAGACTTAAGAAGCTTGCCATGGGCAACCGCCCTGGGTAGAAGGCAGAAAGATGACTGTGCGGGCTCCGATGTCTATCTGTTTCATCTGTCCTGGGGATTCCCAACGTAGGTCCTGGCTGGTACCAACTGGGAAGGCTGGTGCTAGCAGGCTTGGCCTCAGGCCTCAGGTATGACAGTATGACATTGTGAAATATATGTTTTATTTTGTCTGTTTCCTTGGAATCTTGGGGTTTTGGTGTTGTTTGTTTTTTGAGATAGGGTTTCTCTCTATATAATAGCCCTGGCTGTCCTTGAACTCACTCTATAGACCAGACTGGTGTTGAGCTCATAGAGATCCTTCTGCCTCCACATCCCAAGTGCTGGGATTAAAGATATGCACCACCACTGCCCAAAGAATCTTGTATTTTTTGAGGTTTATGAGTCTGACTGATGGCTGAAGGCTACTGGCTAGCTTCAACACAGGGAGCAAGGGAGGGTAAGAGGCTCAGGACTTCTAACCCATTCCCAGGGGACAGAGTGGCAGCCATGTGTTGTCACCCATGGCTCTGATATAATTAGCTGTGTGTAGGTAGCAAAGCCACAAAACCAAAAAGGACCAAGTATGGAAGCTCCCAACCAGCTGAGCCCAAAGAAGTGCCCAGAGGTAGCACCCCTTGCCCTGTGCCTTCCCTTACCTATGCCCTGACCTGGACAAGGTCCCTGACAGTGAACCAGTGATGCAAACGAGCTCCTGAGTCCATGGTACCTTCACAGTGAACAGAGTTAAAGGGTGATGGGAAGGGAGGGGTCATGAGAAACAAGCCTGTGAGACAGAAGCAAGGAAAGCCACCTGGAGCTCCCACTGGTATGAGACAGAGCCCTCAGCCCATAGAATGGTGTTGGAACTAAATTGGTCAGGGTCACCCAGTAAATATCTCCTGCAGGGCCTGGTAGGCTGATGGATTTTTGCTAGTGGGGAGAAAGCCCTCTATGTTGTCTGGTGAGCAGAGGTCATGGGGTTTTAGTCTGCCAACTGTTACCAGGACAAGTATGCATTTGCTTTGCCTTTGCAGGAAGGTAGGGTCTCACATAGTACAGGCTGGCCTTGGCCTTCTTTCTGATCTTGCTGCCTGGCATCACTAGCGTGTATCATCATGTCTGGCAGATGTCACCATTGCTAAAGAAGGAAAACCTCATAACAGGGCCTCACATTTGGGACAGACAGTACACTGTGGATGCAGTGGAAGGACTACCTGTGCAAATACTTACTGCTAACCAGGCGGTGGTGGCGCATGCCTTTAATCCCAGGACTCAGGAGGCAGAGGCAGGCGGATCTCTGTGAGTTCGAGGCCGGGCTGGGCCAACAGCCTCCAAAACAATACAGAGAAACCCTGTCTCGTAAAAGAAACAAACAAACAAAAAAACTTACTGCTAAGCAGGAATGGCAGGAGCTCTGGCCCAAGTGAGAGCAGTAGCAACTATGAGTCTTCTGGAGGTGCCCAGACACAAACAACACTGATTGTCATTTAAAATTAAGCCACAATGGCCATATTTCATATTTGTAAGTGGCGGCGTAGATGGCATGGCTCTAGAACACTCCCGCCTGCCATCACACAAGGCAATGGATACCTTGCTGATCTAGCAGTACCACTCCTTGTGACAGTTTAGAGTGGGCATGGATGCGGCTGGGTGCAAACCTAGTCATAAAACAGCCTAGGACAGTCCTTATGTGTATCCGGCTAATGATGTGCAAGTCTGCCCCTGCGGGCTTAGAGCTATATGGAGGGCTGCAGTTAGTGAATTGATGTAGTGCTTCCAGGCGTATGGGAGCTCCAAAAACTGCTTGCTCTGCAAAACTGACGGCCTTTGAGGACCTATGTTCAGCCTAGTACCCACATAAAAAACAAACAAAACACCAGAAATGGCAGTATGCTATAATCCCAGCACTGGGGAGGCAGGGACAGGAGCATCCCCAATGCTCGCTAGCCAGCCACTGTAGAGCGAGTCAAGTGGGCCCCAGGTCCTAGTGAGAGACCCTGTCTCAAAAAATAAGGTGGAGAACTCAGGCCCTGCGCTGTAAACCTGGTCAGGAGCCCATGACTGGGGAGGTCACAGGCCCGTGAGAACCTGCTGCTGTTGCTTTGTGAAGTGGACATGGTGTCAGGCTTCCCTCTAAATAGTTACGTTTATACCAATAGATTAGTGAGGCTCTCAGCCTGCGTCAGAGGAGCTACTCTTTGTAGTGGGCTACCGCTAATGCAGAGACTCAGTACTGACTGAAGTACTAACAATAAGTGACTGACTGTTGAGTGCTCAGCCGTAAATGGGACATTTATATAGTCTTCTCTAAGGCTCTGTGCAGGAAAGAGCAGGAAGAGAGAGGGAGAGAGAGAGAGGGAAGGAAAGGGAGAAAAGGAAGGAAGGAAGGAAGGAAGGAAGAAAGAAAGAAAGAAAGAAAGAAAGAAAGAAAGAAAGAAAGAAAGAAAGAAAGAAAGAAAGAGGGCCATAGGTTGGGGAGAAATGCTAAGCAAAGCTGTCTTCTGGACATGTCGTGGCTGCTACACACATAGGCTCATGGCAGCACTGGCTGTGTAAGATTTACAGAAGTTTGAGGCCATCAACATTCCAGCATGGATGGGGAGATGTTCTTAATGTCCCACCCCTTTGTGTGTGTGTGTGTGTGTGTGTGTGTGTGTGTGTGTGTGTGTGTGTGTGTGTGTGTGAGAGAGAGAGAGAGAGAGAGAGAGAGAGAGAGAGAGAGAGAGAGAGAGATTCCTCAGTGGTATAGCCACTGGCAAGTTGCTCCCACTCAAGTAAACCCCCCACCCCACATACACACACATTCCCATCAATACAGTGGGCAAAACACTAATTAAATGCAGTAAGGCACACACAAAGAACCAGAAAGATGGTTCAGCTGCGAAGTGCACTTACCACTGAGCCCAATGACCTGAAGTCAATCCCAGGAACCCTCATCTTGGAATGAGACAACTCCCCCAAGTTGTCCTTTGATCTCCACACCTGCACTGTAGTATATGCACCTCCTACAACACACATTTTATATTAAAATTTTAAATTCCTTTAAATTTTAATTAATAATTTATTTATTGTTAATTAATGTTAATAATTAAATTAAATTGTATATTAAAAACATGAAAGTCAGAGGGGGACTTAGTGGAGGAAAATAGAGAGTTGACAGGAAGAGAAGGACATGAGAGGTCAACGGGAAACATATAAATGTGTGTATATAAACTGAGGAGTAATAAATACAATTTCTAAAAATAATAATGTAGAGCCGGGCGGTGATGGCGCATGCCTTTAATCCCAGCACTCAGGAGGCAGAGGCAGGCTGATCTCTGTGAGTTCGAGGCCAGGCTGGACCGACAGCCTCCAAAACAATACAGAGAAACCCTCTCTAGTAAAAACCAAAAAAAAAACAAAACAAAACAAAACAAAACAAAAAAACAAACAAACAAAAGAAAAATAATAAGGTAGAGAGCAACCAAGGAAGACACCCAACATCAACCTCTGGTCTCCACAATCAGAATGCACCTGTGTGTATGTATGCGCGAACGCGCACACACACACACACACACACACACACACACACACACACACACACATACACACACACTGTGGCACACACAGAGGAGTATGAGCAAGTACTTGAGGAATCTGGGGCAGGCTGGAGACTTTGAGTCAGCAAAGAGTCATATGGGAGCTGTTTCTGAGAGGACCTGGGAAGGAAGAGCAGGACTCACCTGGGATGAAAACCAGTATGCAAGACAAGGCCCTGCTACCCAGAGAGTGCAGGGTGAGCAGACTGTGACATTCGGCTGCCCAGGAGGGGCAGGAATGACCAGAGACACTGAGTCTGGAGCCATGACTGCCAGTCGCTTGGCACTACTGTGTCGCTGTTCGAGAGTTTTGCTCCTGGCTGTGGGGTAACAATAGGGCACTTGGGAAGTGAGGAGTGAGTTTTAAGTGTGGCCTGGACCACAATTCCTAAGACAAAAGGCTTGTGCCTGCACCCATGGCTCTTTATCATACTGCCACCACACTGTCCTTGGCTTGTCCAGAGACATCAGTGCCCAAGGAGAGACTGCCAAGGTGGAATTGCCAAGACTCACCGAGGGAACAGAGAATGCACTGGCTTCTTGCTTGAGTAGCAGTAGACTATGGTGCTGCTTAACACAGAAAGCACGGTGTGGTGCTGGGTAAACACCAAGTTCACCAGAATTGTCAATTATTGGTATAAGATTAGAGAGTGTGACACATTTACCCCAGGATGCCATCAGTCATCCCTTGAAAACCCCTGCTGGACTTTTATTTTTCCTTCCATCCCTCTTCCCCGGCCCCGTGCTCAGCTATTTCCAGACACCAAAGCTTTCAGAATTATATGAGTGATTTGCAGCCTCAGCATCCTAAGGCACTGTTTCATCTGCCTGTTCTTCCCCTGCCCAAACCCTCCATCTTTCAAGACTGAGCCTGGGCACCTTCTCTAGAAAGCATGCCTGACATAAGGGGGTGCACGGGGGCCCTTTGGACCTTTACTGCAAAGCATCAGCTAGCCCCCTCATCCTGCCTTGGGTAGGCAGATGCCAGCTGTTGGCACTATGCTGACTCACCAAGGCTGATCAAGCCAGGACTCCAGCCCTCATGGCCACCTCTGGATGGGACAGGAGTCCCTCCGGGGTGGCCTGTCCTGCTCCACAAACCCACCCCTGCCCATGCCTCTGAAACCAAGCATGCTTGAACACATTTTGTCCTTTTACAAGTTACAGTGTGTCACTGTTTATTTTCCCAGGTGCCCTAGGAATCGGATATGACATGACACCTCGTCAGGGAGGAGATGGGGGTTTCCAGTTGCGCAGGTCCGGACTGCTAAGTGGCAGGAAGCAGATTAAGTACCAGAAGTTCCCCTCCACAGCCCAGCCAGCCCGGTGAGAACTCCAGCACAAAACAAGACTCAACATGTCATGGGATGTGAGAAAGTGAGAGGGACAGCCCAGAGGAGGGTACAGTTAGAGCCGATCAGAACCACAGTGTCCACACTTTCTGTGGCAGGCACCCAGTTAGCTCCCCCTTCTCGACGCCCAGGTTGGAAGAGGCATCACCTCTACTGTCTCTCCCTCAGCACTCAGTGCCAGTGTCAGGGCCTCGTGTGACAGCGGCTCCTGAGCAGGCCTGTTTTGTGTTGTGGGGGCTACAGTAAGTGTCTTTACCAAGAAGACTTGTCAGGTTCTTGTGAGACTAAGCCACAGTGGGGGAAACCTTTATTCCAGGGATTTGGCCCTCAGGGGCGCTTTTCTCTTTGAGACTTAGGAAAATGACGGTGAGGAAAGAGACAATACACTGCACATGTATTTACAAACAGCACTACCGAGTGAGCGAGTCCTTCTTTGAGGCAGTCTGTGTGACTTGTACGAAGGGAAACAGATGGGCTCCTGTCTCTGAGGAACGCTGAGTACTGGAAGCACAGAGGCCTGCATGGTGGGGGGGGGGTGTAAGGCGGAGGCGCTCCCCTTCTGAGGGACCGTAAAACTAAACTCTGCATATATGTCTTCTTATGTGTAAGGAAGCGATACTTTTTAATAAAATAAAACTTCTGTGTAACTTGAAAGATATCATTTAAGCAACTAAGGGGGTGATTTGGAAGGGCACAGTATACACAGAACACTAGTGGGGGGCACCCTGTCATGTCGACATTCATTCCCCAGAAAAGATTCATCGCAGTTAGTCCCACTGCCTCTCAGACATGGGCCCAGCTTCCCTGCCTCAGCCTGCCTGCGTACTGCTCATGCTTAGAGGAGCCTCACGCTTACCCCACACACAGCAGGTGCCCTGGGACGGTGCTGGGCTGGCTGAATGCTGTGGCCCATCTCCTAGGACAGCTGGCCGCAGCACTGCCCTGATGCCAAGTTGTGGAGGGAAGGGGTGGATCAAGCTGGCACCTGGCCCTAAACTACGGGCGGGAGCAGCCTTGCTACAAAGGGGACCATGCCTGCTGGATGTTCCTCAGGGCCTGGCACCACCCTGCCTCCATAGGTACCCCGCCTGCCCCACTGACACAGAGAAGCAGAGCAAGGTGCAAGAGGGGACCTGGGGGGCAGTGGGGTCCCTCAGCTCTGCTCCCCCAGCAGGCTCCTGGAAAGGTGCCGGCGGCTGTCAGAACAGCAGGGCTTTCTTCTTGAGATCATTCCTCTTCCACAGGGCCAGGCGGTCAAACTCCTCGATGCTCATCCCAAATACTTCTTGGAACTCCTCAGGTGACAGATGTCTCTTCAAACAAGGGAAAACAGGACAGTCAGTGGTGTTTGAAAGCCGGCCCGAGAAGCTGCCTATGCTCTGAGAGACACTGGCTCCTCGGGTGGACCTTCGTTGTAATGGCAGTGCAGACGCTTGGCCCTTTTGCCTGCATTTTGTGTCTGTGCCTTGGGTCCAATTCCTACTTAATTCTGTACATGGGCTTAACCGTGCAAGGATACCTAGCCTGTCTCTGTCCCTTGAGGGTGACCAGTGCAAAGATAAGAGCTGAGTCTTCTCAGTGTTTACAGTGTCTCATGCCAGACAGAAAAGGAGTCTGAATGTCTCCAGTCCTTGCTCTCAATCTGCAGTCACCTTAAGTTCCAGGAACAACAGACTCACAGACAATCACTGTGATGAAATCACACTCTCCCCCCCCCAAACCCCAGCATTGCCTCACAGGAGCTTTCTTGTCCCTCAAGCATAAGCATTTCCAACCACCTGGTGGAACCAGCCAGGACTGAGTAGCTCAGCGCCCCTCTCATCCTGTTCCAGTTGTTTCTCTCTTTACAGCCGAGGATCATGTCGGTGCCTGAGACAGCTGGAATGCTTGCTTCCCATCTTCCCAAGGCAGCTGCAAACTGACCTTTGTCTCACTCTGCTGCTTAACAGTTGTCCTGGGGCCAATGGGCAAGCCTGGTCTACAGTGACTTCAGGCTCTGGGGCTTTTGCCCTAGAAATCTGCTTACAGCTTTTGCAGCACCATGCCTGCCAAGCCAGCTCTCTGCTGAAGCAGGGCTGCCACTGAGGATGAGTGGCCTTGTCATCGTGTCCAGGGCCTCTTTGAAGTGAAAGAAATAAGCCTAAAGGACAGAGTCTTGGTAGGGACACACAGGGACTGGCATGGAGCTACCTCAGCACCCTTGACTACTGACTCCACTGACAAAACTTCCCTGTGGCCAAGTTCAATAGCCACGCCCTGCGACATGATTCCTGCCTGCTTGGAGCCTTCTATAGGCTCCTTTACGCTGCCTCGCTTGCAGTTTTAGTTGTGATAGTGACTGCTCAGACAGTATATAGTGTTCTATCCCCATCTCCCAGCTCAGAAAGCCAAGGGGGTAATGTGCTGTCTAGTCTAATGTCAACTTGACACAAGCTGAAGTTATCCGAGAGGAAGGAACCTTAAGAGCTACCATAAGATCAGGCTGTAGGCAAGCATGCAGGACATTTTCTTAATTAGTGACTTACTGTGGAGGGCCCAGTCCACTGTGGGTGATGCTATCCCTGTGCTGGTGATCCAGGGTTCTATAAGAAAGCAGGCTGAGCAAGCCATGTTGAGCAGGCCAGTAAACAGCACCCCTCCATGGCTTCTGTAGCTCCTGCCTCCAGGTTCCTGCCCCACTTGAGTTCCTGTCCTAACTTCCTTTGACGATGAACAGGGATATTGAAGGACAAGTCAAACCCTTTCCTCCCCGAGTTGCCTGTGGCCATGGTGTTTCACCACAGCAACAAAAACCCTAACTAAGACAGGTGGCTATGCAGCAAAGAAGCCAAGCCAGGCCCAGGCCATGGCACAAACCCTTCCTCACCTTGACTCTGACATGTGATCCGAAACCAGGCATTCCGAGTCACTGAGCCAGCTGCTGAGTAGCTGTGTTCAAGGGCGTGGACACCAGCACCTCTGTTGGCCTGGATGACTGAACTGGCTTCTGAGAAGCCATCTGAACATCTGCACCATAGTCCCCTCCTGAAGTTTTGGGCATGGATGGATGGAGTCAGTGCTGGTCAGCATTTAGTACTGGGTCCAGCTGTGACTGTGTGTATGAGTCCAGGCCTTGTTCACAGTGGTCTGGGATAGTAAGAACAATCCTGACAGATACCCATACTACCCACATTATAATGCAACCTGTCCCTTATCACTACCCACATTATAATGCAACCTGTCCCTTATCACGCCTGGCCTGTTACTCTCACAGCCGCCTCACACAACAGGCTCTGAGAAGTCACTTCTCAGCCAGGCTTGGTGGCCCACGCCTATAATCCACGCCTATAATGCTAGCGCTTGGGAAGTGCAGGCTGGAGGATCAGGAGTTCAATGCCATCCTCTAGTTCAAGGCCAGTCTAGGCCGAGACCCTGTTTCGCTACCTGCACACCCTTCCAAGAAAACAGAGGAAAAGAAAAGAAGCCACTTCTCATTCCTTGAGGCACACTCAAGCTACCTCAGGTACTCTCCTGGGCCCCTGGCTTCCTCTCAGCTCACCAGGGAGACAGAAAAGAATCAGGCAGGTGGGGGTGGGGTGGGGTAGGGATAGGATGAGGCAGCAGGAAGGCCAGAGGGGGTAGGCCTGGCTAGGACAGCCTCCTGCCACCTCCTTCCCAAGCAGGGCCTCTTGACTGTTGTGTGGGAAAGAGACAGGCAGGTCCTCAACAAGGTGATAGAGTGAGGGATGACAGCTCCCTGCCCAAAGCAGCCACCCAGAACAGTGATAGGGACTCCCACGGGTCCCCAGGTGCCCACCTTCACAGCATTCTTCCCAAGGATCAAACGCAGAAACAACCCAACTCTTGGATACTGGGAAAACAGATGCATTGCAGCATCATTCAACCCAGAATGACAGGAAATTCTAGGCCTCAAAAACATCAGGTCAAGTGTGAGGAGCCAAACGTGCCACACACTGCACTGCCTGGTGGGGCAGGAGGAGGTGGGTACTGTGGCTGATGAAGCGTGTGGGGTTTTCTTCTGGGTGATGAGAATCTTCTGGACCCAGTAACGATGATCGTGGAACTGGAAAAGTGCTGATGCTTAAGTTGCACATTTCAAAATGGTAAAAGCAGTGGATTTTGCCACAATTAAAAAGTTGTTGGCAAAAAAAGAGCACAGTTTCCATAACTTTGCAGCAAAGACCCTAAACTAGAGGTTGCTGTAGTGATCAAGAGAGAAAAATGGATGAGAGACTGGGTGTGGTAAACTGAGGCAGAAGGATCAAGAGTTTGAGGACTAGCCTTGTCCACATAGAAAGTTCAAGGCCAGCCTGGGCTATAGGAGATCTTGTCTCATAATGGACCAGAGATTTCGGTAATTTCTGGAAAGTATAAATACAAATCTTGTCACTGAATCTGTTATGTGCTCTGAGTTTTAGAGCCCCAGCAGTGGGCGATCCGGAAGACGGACCTGGAGTCACACATGTACACACACAGCCATACTCACAGCATCCAGCAAGACTCCCCTAGGGGGAGGCTCTCAGCCTGTGGACTGTCCTGTGGTTGCAAACAGGAAAAGCATCCAGCAAGACTCCCCTAGGGGAGGCTCTCAGCCTGTGGACTGTCGTGTGGTTGCAAACAGGAAAAGCGTCTTGGGCTAGAAACGAACCATCTGCATGGTGAGATTGGGGTGATTTGATGTGCTGAGAAGTTTACTCCCAGACCACCAAGATTTAGAAGATACTGGGTTGTCTCACCAGAGCCCTTTGAGGCCAACTTACTCTAGGATGCTCTCAGAGAGGACAAGGGCACAAAAATAGGCAAGGGTGGGATGAGGCCAGTTTAACAGGACCACCAGAGATGGAAGTGTTGGGGAGGTGGTTTGAGGTATGGTCCCTGGTTTTGTTGCCTGTTGTTTGAGACAAGGCCTCACTATGCAATCCAGGCAGGCCTTGAGCTTACTATGTAGCCTAGGATGACTTCAAACTCCCATCGTATTCTGTGTGATGCAGTTGCAAGGGAGAGCGTGGATGGGGCACGTGATGGCTGGTATTGAGAAGGTGCATTGATTGGCATGGCAGGGTGGCAGAAGCGAGTGCTTTCAGGGAAAGACCTGAAGCCAGTGGCCCTAGCCCCACATCCCCAGCTCCTGATGGATTTGCTCATCATGGATGTTCACGTTCTGTTGAGTCCAGAGTGTGGGCAAGGGTCAGAGGAGCCAGTGCCTGGCAGAGGATCTGTTAGTGTCTTCTGGTAGGTAGGTTCTGGCTCTCTAGGTTCCCTTCCCAGCAGGAAGAACTATGGGGTGTACCTGACTACAGGGGCCCACATGGCTGTTTTAGCTTAGCTATTCTCTGGCCCCTGGCTCCTCAGGTGCTGGCCAATGCCAAGGGCTCCAAACTTCTTTCATAGCTACAGGAAGGGAGACCCACATGGCACCTTTCCAGAGAGTGGGCCTGCCTCATTCCTGGGAGACACCATTGCATGGTGGGAAGCCCTAGGGCCTTCAGCATCTTTCTCCCTGTGTCACCAGCAACATCTCCAAATTCTATAGGCCCTGACTCAAATGTCACCCCTTTCAGAGGTGAGGCTGCCTGAGTTGCGGTACCTGGGAGGGTACCCAAGGCCACATAGAGTCCCCTGCACAAAAGTCCAGCTAGCCTGCAGGACTCAGCTCCAGAAGGGCAGCAGGCCTCTGCTCACGATGTTTGTTCTCCCTTCCTCGGGGAACACGTGTGTGACTGCTGTTCTTCAACATCCTCTGCCACCTGCCTCTGCCCACCGCAGCTCCACAGTGAGCTTCCTGGCAGCTGGCATCCACCAGGCCACTCCCCAGGTCTATCTGTCCTTCCACACAGCACTCAAGTACTTCTTCTCCACCTGAATCAGGAAGGGCCTGGGGGGGCTCTGAGCCCCTCATGGTCACCCCTGGCCATCATGGTTCAAGGTGCTGTGTCCTCATCATACTGGATGGACACAGAGAAAGGACACTTGAACCTCAGGGTCCTCACTTCCCAGGTGCTGTCACCCTGGGCTTATTGCACCAGAAAACACATACATCGTTAGCCTCTGGGCATGTGAGAACCGTCAGGGAAACCCCAGGCCCTCTGCAGCAGCCTCTTTCCAGTCAGCAATCCCTGGTGGCCCACAGGGGGAGCTCAGAGTCCCAACTCAGCACCAGCAAACGCTGAGTGACACACATCAACATGGTCACATAGTGTCACTTGCAGGCAGGAGCCCCTTCAGCACCTCACCCACTGCACTTGATCTCTGCATTGGATATACCAGTTCTTCCAAGCCCCAGGGCTGGGGGCTTGGTCAAACACTGGCTCCG